CACCCCCTCCCCACCAAATTAAAACAACACAAATACAAAAACAACACACAAACCAACTTACAAAATCAAAATGCAAAGCAACAAACAGACTAAAGACCCCTCACTTTTTCCTGTTTACAACAGAAGACTTGTTACATGTTTAATTGACAATCTCACCAGCAACAGAAATGTAATCTTCCAACAAATAATAGAGTTCTATGCTACTCTTTTAGACTGGTTTTGCTATCCAAGCTTTTCCGTTCTACTGAGGTTCTACATAAAGCAATTGCTTTCACTTTGTTTGGATAGAACAGCAGAGCTCTGCAGACCAATTTTATACAAATATTATGATGATAAATACATTATTGCTCGCCATAATGCACGTATTAGCCAATAGTATTTTACGAGACAAATCATGCTGTGCTAGAGTAGTGCCTTACGTTCTATTTTTGCTCGCTGTTTCATTTTTGTCTTCGAAGTAAATGTTTGTATGTAAAGTGATAGTGAATATTGGTTTGATGAAACTAATGCAAATGTACATTCCTGAGACAAATCAATTGTCTATCCCATCTAAGAGGCTGGGTGGCTGGAGGTGTCATCTCTAGGTCAGAGGTTGACTTGTACCTCTGTTTTTTCGGTCGCTAATCGCTATCGTGCATTATTTAAATTTAGCCCAGTCCGTAACTTTGATGTTGTCAGTCCACATTGTGTATTTTTCATTCTTAACTTTTATCATTTTACTTTATGTGCCAGTTGATCAAAAATTGAACCCATACTGGAATCCAAAAATGTGAATAGAAGTATTGTTATTTTTGTTTTCTTATTCGTTTTACGTTTTTGTTTGGGGATGGTGTCCAAACTATTAGACTGACAAATTTACCTCAAAAGTTTCTTTCAGATTGTTTGAATAACATCAGCGTAGAGTCAGACTTGGTCTAAATTATGAAATTGTTATATCAACCAAAGAAGGTTTAATTCATATTGCCTTTATGATGCCAGTGTAGAGTCTGACTAGATATGTCTATGACTAGTTATGTCTATACTTTTTGCAGTGTTCATTTGAGGGTTAACCCTTGTGCCCCCACATCTTGCCTGCGAGTATTTCCTTCTTGGTCGTCTGGTCACGTTTCATATGATCAGGAAAGGATACGCAACTATTGATTTCCACTGGGGTCTCTCTCTGAATCTTTGGACGGAAGTTCCCACTGTCTCCCTGTCCTTCAACCGTCATCTTCTACTTCTACCCATCTCCGTACTCATACTTGAAGACCTGAGAACCACACCAAGGAAAGGGTATGGTATGGTATGGTATGGTATGGTATGGTATGGTATGGTATGGTATGGTTTGGTATGGTATGGTATGGTATGGTATGGTATGGTATG